ATCTTGACTCATAGTTTGGATGACTGAAATAACCCCTGTCCCAGCATAGAGACCAGCAGCATCCTCACCCCCTCCTTGTGTGGGTCCTTTTTGGTGCCCTGGGATTGGGGTGCTGGCCTCTGGGATTGGGGTGTCTCTCTGCAGGGGTGACCCCACTCCATGCTGCTCCTCACCAGCAGATCCAAATGAGTTCTCTATCTTTGTCATGCAGTTCTGATGCCGCTGTTGGATCACTGCAGTGTGCAGCCTGATGCCAGGGTCGCCTCCCACCCCTTCTTTGGGCTGAATGCCCAGATCAGGTAAGGCCTGGAGATGTTCTCAGCAAAGGGAAGGGATCGATTTTGCTGGCGGTGGGGATTTTGCATGTTCAGACAGCTAATGGAGGAGCTTGTTTGGGTTCCCTGAGTAGGCTCATTTGATAATGCCTCATTTGATAATCCATTTGATAATGGGTTTCCATAATGGCCTCTGGGTCAGGCTGACAGACCCACCTCACCTCGATGTGGACAGGTCAGAAGTTCAGCCTGAAGCCTGTTGGTGTGCGTAGTGAGGGAGAGCAACGCGTGCATCCTCCCAGGGCAGGCTGTCTCCAACCAGTCTGGGCTCCCTGGACACATGGTCTTCCTCAGCACGTGAAGGCTCTCCCCTCGGGTCAGGGCAGTGTTCCCTCATTTCATGGCTCTGCTTAGCCTAAAAATAGACGGAGGCAGGAGATCTGGTGAAGGTAGCTGGCCAAAGCCCAACGCAGGGCTAAGCCCTTACCATCCCATGAGGAGGAGGAGGGTGCTGTGAGTAACAACCATCTTCCATAGCCAGTCACCCGCCCTGAACCAGTTGACGTCCCTGTACGTGGGCAGGACACACGCCCTGTGGAAGGACCCAGCTGTCATGGCCTGGCTGGAGCCCCAGACGCACGAGGTGCTGCGGATGGTGGAGGCCCGGGACCCGCTGGTACAGGAGGCCGAGCACAAGTGAGTACAGAGGGGCAGCGGATTCAGTGCCTGGGACAGAGCGGGACCAGGGACTGGCCTGGGCAGCAGTGACCCTGGGGTCACTCTCAGAGCCCCCCAGCTGCTGGTCTGATGCTGAGGGTTACACTGTGGGGCCAGGAGGGCAGAGGCTCTTCCATGTTTTTCACAAATGGGAATTAAGAGCTGGACCTGCACTTCAAGTCCTGCACTGCTTTTCCTAGTCTTGGCTGTCACCTGTGCCCTGGAGATGTCCTGGAGAGGGTGGAGGGTGGCCTGGAGGGGCAGGGATTGCCACACAGGGCAGGTGGGAGCTTACGAACACTTGCCAAGTCCCTGTGCTGAGAAACAGGAGAGAGCCATCAGGTGTTGTCCTAAACCAAGGTCAGCTCGCTCTGCTGAGCACTCTGCGCCACTCTCTGCTCTTTCTCTGGAGCTCAGCAGCTGCCTTTGACCCACCCTAAGCCAGCTCCATCCAATATGGCCTGTCCCCTGGAGCCAGGGAAGCTGCTGACTCTGTACTTGGAGCAGCAGAAATGGGAATTTGCCTGCTAAGGGCACCCTGCTCTGTCCCCTCCCCACCTCAGGAGGAAGATCCGGTACCAGAGCGCTCCCAGGAACATCTACCGGCATGTCATCCTCTCGGAGATGAAGGAGGCCACGGCAGCCCTGCCTCTGGTGAGGGGCCTGATGGGCCACAGGGGCTGTGGCTGTGCGTGGTGTGGTGGTGCTTGTGTCCTTGCGGGGCTCATCTTAACCCCAGGCACCCACCAGACCTCAAGGTGTCCTCCCTACGGGCACAGCTTCTCCATGCCTCTGTGTTTGCTGCAGCTGGATGTGCAGCCTTCATCCCTTCTCCTTCATCCCTTCCTTCTCCTTCCCCTCCAGGAGGTGACCTCGCAGCCAGTGATGGGTTTTGACCCCCTCCCTCCTCTGGACTCCATCGTTTCTTACACCCGACCAGAAAGGTACCACCTCCATCCTGGTGCCTGTGCCAGCACAGCCGGCATGTTCCCATGTTCCCGGCACACCCTCAGCCCCGGGCCAGGCTGCATGTGGGCACTCAGTACTGATCTCCTCCTCCATGGCAGAGGAAGGGCCGTGGTGTTCCCGACAGGCAGAGCTACAGGACAGACTGGTCTGGCTGCTTCCCATGGTGGTCACTGGGAGCTGTTCCCAGCAATAGGGCAAAAGCCAGGGAAAACACAGGCTGTGGCCGAACTGAGGGAGTTTGGGGTAAATAGAGGTTTAAGTACACCCAGTCCTGGGTTACACACTGACTCGCTCAGCAGAGCTGGTAGAATCACAGAATCCTGGAATGGTTTGGATTGGAAGGAACCTTAAAGCTCATCATGTTCCTCACCATAGGCAGGTACACCTTCCCCAAGCTCTATCCAACCTGGCTTTGGTAGTGCTCTTAGCAACTGGTTTGCTCAGAGTTGCAATGCCTGGATCAGAAACCCCTGGAAATCCCCCCATTCCCTCCCTCGGGTCTGGCTCTGTCAGGGCCATGGTTCTCCCAGTCCTGCCGTATCCCCTTGAGCAGTCACGAACTGAGCTGTCCCTTCACCAGGGTGCCACTTGTGTCTTGCAGGACAAGCCATCCCTCCAATGAAAGCACTTTATCCCTCTTTTTCCGCTCGCTGTTGCCAAATTTCAACTTGCAGGTGGGTGCACACTGGGCTGTGGGCACATCGTTCTCACTCCAGGAGCAGCTGCTGGCAGCAGCCTGGTGCTGGTTTGGCACCGGCGTTGTCTGTGTCCCTGCCACCACAGCACTGCTGTCTTGCAGGGGGACATCCGGCACGACGGGGACGACGAGGCCGGGGCAGGGCAGGACCTTAACCAGGGGGTGAACAGGCTGATGGCGGCCATGCGGGACATGCTGGCCAACATCCAGTTCCAGGAGCCCCCCCGCGATGACAATCCCGAAGGCGATGGGGACTGGGATTGAGCCCAGGGTGTCTCTCCTCAAACCTTCTGACATCATTCCCCGATTTGTGTTGCACTCCAATAAAGTCACACAAATGCACTTGCTGTGGGAATGGGCTTTTTCCAGGGAGGGCGGCTGAATCCCTGGGATGGCCCTGTCCATCATGGCTGGGCTTCGCGAACGAAGATTTGGGAAGGCTCTATCCACATTTGTTACAGGCACGCTGGTGGCTTATGAGGCCAATACGTGACAGACATATCCGATTGCAAAAGGCACAACAGAAAGACTCCTTAGATGGTGTAATCTGCAAGACACGGTTCTTTCTGCGTTGCCTTTTCTCCTCCAGAGTGATCCTGCGTGTGTTCTCAGGCCCTGTCCAGGGAGGGGGATTGAATCCACAGGGATGGGCCCTGTCCAGGGAGGGGAGCTGCCTCCCTGGGCCCCTCTCCTCTCTCTCAACAGGGGACAAGGACTATCTGAGCATGTCTGAGCTAATCGACAGCAGCTGTCCCTTGTCCCCATGGCAGCTTTAGTCCCCTTCTGGCCTCTTCCACACACAATTCCCATCCCATTCCCCTCCCCATTCTTCTGGCTATTGTCCTTAATTCCCAGAGGGGTTTCTCTGCCCTCTCCTCCGGCTCCTTTGTGCTTCCTGCAGCTCCCTTCCCTCCACAAAACACTCTGCACCCTCTCACCACACTGACCCTTCCAAAGGTCTTGGAGTGCCCTATGCTGCTAGAATTGTGCATGGATCAGCTTTTCCAGCCTCTTAATCGTGTTTGTAGCAGAAATCATCCCCCCTCTTTGTTTCTCCATCCTTTATTTCCCCACCTTCACCTTGTAGAGCCAGGTTTGAGGTTAGCCACACTCAAACCTTAACTCATCTTTGTTCCCACAAAGCTTTTTCCTCTTTTTTGCCGAGTAATGGTGAACATGTGGATTAAGTCCTTGTTTCTGCTGTGTTGTCTCCCTAGGGGATGGAGCCAGGGTAGGTTGGCTGGGTGCAAACCTCAGATCTCAAGCCAGCCCATCACAGCTCTGTTCCCCACTGGCACATCCAAATCCCATGGTGTCCTAATCCCTGTAGCTTGGCACTTTGGCAGCACAGGACCCCATTCCCAATGTATCCAGCTGAACCATTTTCATCCATGCCGGAGGGAAGGGCTTCCCAACGGAAGTGGATAACCGTGGGATCAGCCTTTCATGGAGCTGTGAATGGCTCTTTGGCAGCCGAGCGGCTCCAGGCGTCAACACGGACCCAAGGCACATGATGGTCAGATGGGGTCCGTGTCCCCCCCCCGCCTGCCTGGGATCCCTGTGGCGCCGGGCTCTGCAGTGTCCCATTTAATGACGTCTTTGACAATTCGTATCGGATCCCACGCCTTCCCCATGGCGAAACACCTTCCCTGGGGCTCTGGGGCTGGGACCCCTCCCAATCCCAATGTGTGGGGCAGCTTGGTTCCTGCAGTGGGCAGGGTCCCATGGGGGTCCCCAGGGTGTGTGGACACCCCAGGGTGTATGGATGACCCCCAGGGCACATGAACCCCTGTAGGACATACAGGCCTGCAGGGGACATGGGACCCCTCAAGTCACACAGTCCCCCAGAGTGCCTCCAGCATACGTAGGACCCCAGGAAAGATGGAGACTTGAGGTGCCTCATCCCCCCAGGGCACAGAGGACCCCTATGGCACACAGCCCCCCACGGTGCATGACCCCAGGGACGCTCCCAGGGCATTTATGACTCCTGAGCACATGGTGACCTCAAGCAGTCACGTCGCCCGGGGCCATCCTGGGGGTCTGACAGCCCTGGCCTTGGCAGTGGCCCAACTCGCTGCCAGGGTGCCACCGTCATGCAGATGCCCACCCTCCTCGGGAGGTGGAGCCATGAGAGTCGGCTTTAAAATGGGGCAGAGAAAGGGCCCTTTCTTCTCAGCACCCTGGGCCGGCGGGTGTAGGACGTGGGACAGCGCTGGCGCAGAGGGTGGCCACCACACCGGGGGGTCCCAGCGAGCACGCGACACCCCCGGCACACCCCACACCTCCCATCCCCAGTTCCTCTGTGTCCCCTTGGCCTTGCCGCCGGGTGCCACAGGAGCACTGGCGGGGCACAACGGAGGCTCGGGGGGGGTGTGTGGGCGCCACAGGGTGCCCCGGGGCTGAGGCAGGGGCCATGTCAACGCTGGCCCCCCTGCGTCTGCTGCGCGAGCCCTGGAATGCCAGTGAGGGCAACCAGAGCAACACCACAGTCGGAGCCAGCAGCGGCTGGTGCCAGGGACTGGACATTCCCAATGAGCTGTTCCTGGCACTTGGGCTGGTGAGCCTGGTGGAGAACCTGCTGGTAGTGGCTGCCATCCTGAAGAACAGAAATCTGCACTCACCCACCTACTACTTCATCTGCTGCCTGGCGGTGTCTGACATGCTGGTGAGCATCAGCAACCTGGCGGAGATGCTCTTCATGCTGCTGCTGGAGCATGGGGTGCTGGTGATGCGCCCCAGCATTGTCCGCCACATGGACAACGTCATCGACATGCTCATCTGCAGCTCTGTTGTGTCCTCTCTCTCCTTCCTGGGGGTCATCGCTGTCGACCGCTACATCACCATCTTCTACGCCCTGCGCTACCACAGCATCATGACGCTGCAGAGGGCCGTGGTGACCATGGCCAGCATCTGGCTGGCCAGCACCATCTCCAGCACCGTCCTCATCACCTACTACCACAGCAACACCATCCTCCTCTGCCTCATCAGCTTCTTCCTCTTCATGCTGATCCTCATGCTGGTACTCTACATACACATGTTTGCCCTGGCCCGCCACCACCTCCACAGCATCTCCAGCCAGCAGAAGCCTCCCACTGCCCACCACGGTGGCAGCCTGAAGGGCGCCGTCACCCTCACCATCCTCCTGGGGGTCTTCTTCGTCTGCTGGGGGCCCTTCTTCTTCCACCTCATCCTTATTGTCATCTGCCCCACCAACCCCTTCTGCACCTGCTTCTTCAGTTACTTCAACCTCTTTCTCATCCTCATCATCTGTAACTCGGTGATTGATCCTCTCATCTATGCCTTCCGGAGCCAAGAGCTCCGACGGACGCTGCGGGAGGTGGTGACATGCTCCTGGTAGGCAGCGGGACGCGATACTGGCACGGCCACCCCCGCCCCGAAACGGACAGATGGATGGACCGGTGAATGGATGGGATGAGCCGCGGGATGCCCCCGTCCGGGCTCGCAGCTCGCGGTTCCCAATAAAGGCTCTTTGCAGTGACGCTATGGCTGGCAACGGGCAGCCCCGGGCAACCCGGGGGGATACGGCCCCTCCCTGCCTACTCCCAGCTCGGTTGCTCCCAGTGGGGACCGGCTGGGACCGGGAGGAACCGGCAGGGTGGCGGGAGGCTGGTTTCCACGCGGGGGGCGGCCAGGGCCGCCCCCGACAAAGGGCCCATCCCTGTCGTCTTTGTTCTCGGGCCGCGCCCGCCGCCGCCCACCCCGGCACTGGCACCAGCCCTGTCCCCGATGCCGCGGGGGCTCCTGGCGACCCGACCACCCGGGTTGGCCTCTCCGTCCCTTGTCCCTGTTTCCCCGTTATGGGACGCAGTTTGGGGGGTGTCCCGTATGCATGTCCCCTCCACCCCGCCGCCGCCGCCGCCGCCAGCGCCCCAGGATGCTCCCGACGATGCTGCGCGGTCCCAGGATGCCCCCATGGGTCCCGGGGTGTCCCCGTTCCCGGTGGGTGCAGGGGGTGCCCCCTGGCCGTGCCCCCCGCGGCTGCCGGGGCTCCCCGCTCCGCCGCGGCGTGGCGCGGCCGTGGGCGTGGCCGTGGGCGTGGCCGGGCGGGGCGGCCCGGGCGGTGCCGGTGCCGCAGGGCTGTTGCAGCGCTGCGGCGGCGGCCGCTGATTGGCTGCGGGCGGCGGTGACGTCAGCGGCCGTCCCGGTGCGGCGGTGGGCGCCTATAAAGGCGGTGGCGGTGGCGGGTCCGCCCCCCGCGCTCCCGGTACCGCTCTGCTCCGGTGCCGCTCCGCTCCCGGCCCCTGCCCGCTCCCGTCCCGCTGCGCTCCGGCCCGGCCGCACCATGAGGGAGATCGTCCACATCCAGGCGGGGCAATGCGGCAACCAGATCGGCGCCAAGGTAACGGCGGCGCCGCCCCGCCCCGCCCGCCGCGGCGGAGCCGGGCGGCGGACAAAGACCGGCTCGCCCTCCCCTTCCCTGCCCTCCCCCCGCTCCCGCCGCACCGGGAGGACAAAGCGCCCCGCCCCCTCCCGCGCCCCCCGCCCCCCGCCTTTGTCCGTCAGCACCGCGGACAGCGCCCTCCCGGAGCCGCACCCCACCCGGGGCTTGGGGGGTCCCGGTGCCACTCGCCCTGCTGAGTCCCAACCGGGATTTGGGGGATCCCAGTGCCTCTGCCCCGCCCTGACCGGGGCTTGGGGATTCCCGGTGCCACTCGCCCTGCTGAACCTCTCCCGGGATTTGGGAGGTGCTGGTGCACCCTCTCCTGCTCTGCCTTGACCGGGGTTTGGGGGTCTCAATGCCCCTGCCACGCCCTGACCAGGGCTTGGGGAATCCCAGTGTCCCCCGCCCCGCTGAGCCCTGACCAGGGTTTGGGGGATCCTAATGCCCCTACCACACCCTGCTCAAGGATTTGGGTGTTTGTGGCGTCCCAGTGTCCACTGCTCTGCCCAGTCCTGGCCAGGGATGGGGGGATCCCACTGCTCCCTGCCTTGCCCGGGGTTTTGGGGGTGTCTCAGTGTACCCCACTCTGCTGAGCCCCCTGTCCTTCCCAGTTCTGGGAGGTGATCAGCGATGAACACGGCATCGACCCCAGTGGCAACTACGTGGGGGACTCAGACCTGCAACTCGAGCGCATCAGCGTCTACTACAATGAGGCCTCTTGTAAGCGAACCCCCCTCCAGCACCACCCTGGAAGGGCAACCTGGAACCCCCACCCTGGGCTGCAGAGGGGCACCCCAGTCTGACCCCCCAGTGCAGCAGGAGCTGGGACTGTTGGGGCAGGGAGGGGGAGGAGATAGAGGTACCCACCCCATGGGGGTCTAGGAGGGCACCCACCCCGTGAGACCCTGTGGTTTGCAGGGTTGTGGGGGGGGAGTCATGTGCACCCAGTTCCATGGAACCCTGTGGTTTGGGAGGGGAACAACATGTACACCCACCCTATTGGACCCTGTGATTTGTGGGGTGGGGACACACACAGCACCTTTACCCCAACCCTGTCGGACCCTGGTGCACACCCACCTCTTCAGACCCTGTGGTTTGGGAGCGGCAGGGTGCACATGTGCATGCAGCCCCATAGGACCTTGTGGTCTGGGGGGGGGGGAGCATAACATATGCACACACCCCTATGGGACCCTGTGGTGTGGGGGGGGGCCATGACATGTGCACACAGTCCCGTGGGACCCTGTGGTTTCGGGGGAGGGTGACAATTGCACCCACCTTGTAGGACCCTGTTGTGTGTGGGGAATATGACATGACACGTGCTCCCACCCCAGGGGGTTGGGGGCCGGGGGGGGGGCAGACATGTGACCCTGTGGTTTGGGTGGGGCTTGAGACATGCATCCACTCCATGAGACCCTGTGATTTGTGGGGGGACACAATCTGTGTGCCCAGCCCCATGGGACCCTGCAGGGTGCTGGGAGACACCCCTGGGGGTCGGGGTGGGGCGGCAGCAGATACCCTTCCTTCACGGGGTCTCTCTCAGCTCACAAGTATGTGCCTCGTGCTATCCTGGTGGACCTGGAGCCAGGGACGATGGACAGTGTGCGCTCAGGTGCCTTCGGCCACCTCTTCCGCCCCGACAACTTCATCTTTGGTAGGTCCCTGAGGAGGGAGGAGGACACCGCCCCCCCCCCTTGTCCCCTCCAGTCCCCTGAGTCCCCTGCCCCGCCCGACCTGTCACCATCCCCGGGGCATTCAGCAGGCACTCCCCTCCCATGCCGCGGGGCCTGGCACCTCTGGCATGCCGCCAAACCTCTGCGGTTCCCACTTCCCACCCCACCCCGGCGTCAGATCTCCCGGTGCTGCCGGCGGCAGCACGCAGTCCCAGCCCGGATCCCCTCCCCAGAGCCCTCTGGCGAGGGCGCGGGGAGCCAATGGCAATCAGAGCCTCTTTTCCCAGGGCAGAGCGGTGCCGGGAACAACTGGGCAAAGGGGCACTACACGGAGGGGGCCGAGCTGGTGGACTCCGTGCTGGATGTGGTGCGGAAGGAGTGCGAGAACTGCGACTGCCTGCAGGGCTTCCAGTTGACCCACTCGCTGGGTGGGGGCACAGGCTCGGGCATGGGCACCCTGCTCATCAGCAAGGTGCGGGAGGAGTACCCCGACCGCATCATGAACACCTTCAGTGTGGTGCCGTCCCCCAAGGTGTCGGACACGGTGGTGGAGCCCTACAATGCCACACTCTCCATCCACCAGCTGGTGGAGAACACAGATGAGACCTACTGCATCGACAACGAGGCACTCTACGACATCTGCTTCCGCACCCTCAAACTGGCCACCCCCACCTACGGTGACCTAAACCACCTCGTTTCAGCTACCATGAGCGGTGTCACCACCTCCCTGCGCTTCCCTGGCCAGCTCAACGCTGACCTCCGCAAGCTGGCTGTCAACATGGTGCCCTTCCCGCGTCTCCACTTCTTCATGCCAGGCTTCGCCCCGCTGACAGCGCGTGGCAGCCAGCAGTACCGTGCCCTCACCGTGCCCGAGCTCACCCAGCAGATGTTCGATGCCAAGAACATGATGGCTGCCTGCGACCCCCGCCATGGCCGCTACCTCACTGTGGCCACTGTCTTCCGTGGCCGCATGTCCATGAAGGAGGTGGACGAGCAGATGTTGGCCATCCAGAGCAAGAACAGCTCCTACTTTGTAGAGTGGATCCCCAACAATGTCAAGGTGGCTGTGTGCGACATCCCGCCGCGGGGGCTGAAGATGTCCTCCACCTTCATCGGGAACAGCACAGCCATCCAGGAGCTCTTCAAGCGCATCTCAGAGCAGTTCACAGCCATGTTCCGCCGCAAAGCCTTCCTACACTGGTACACAGGTGAGGGCATGGACGAGATGGAGTTCACCGAGGCCGAGAGCAACATGAATGACCTGGTGTCTGAGTACCAGCAGTACCAGGATGCCACAGCTGAGGAGGAGGGTGAGATGTACGAGGACGACGAGGAGGAGTCGGAGGCACAGGGCGCCAAGTGATGCCTGACTCCACCCCCCGACGCTGCCCACGGCCCCCCTGGCTTCGCGCTGCTGCACCCCCCGGGTGGTGCCCCCCCTGCCATCCCCTCAGTGTGTCCTGCCCCCCTGCCCCCCTGAGCCAGCTCGGCTCCCCACCCCTCCGTCCTGCCTCTCCCCCCTTTTCGTTTTTTACTGGTTCGTGTCTATTATTTTTTTTGAATACTTAATAAATTTATTGCTGTCCGGGTACTACCTGTCTGTACTCCTGGGAAGGGGGACAGAGGACACCCCCACTACTCAGTCCCTCCAGCCATTCCCATAGGAGGGGGGTGGTTTGGGAACCCCCCATACCTAAGCCATGACAATGCCCCTGTGTCCACCTGTGTCAGTCCATGGGCACCCCCGGGTTGTGCACTGCCCCACAGGTTCAACCCCCCAAGATCTGGGGGTGAAGGTACCACCGAGGAGGATGGTGCCTTTGTCTCCACTGTCACCTTTCTCCATGATGGGAGGGAGTGGAGGGTGGCAGCTGCCTCCTTGTGCCAGGACAGGGTTGGTCCTTTGTCCCCCAAGCTGTGGTGGGGGTGCAGACCCCAGGGTGCTTCCACAGGGAGCATGTACCCAGTTGTGAGAGATCCGAGGCACCCCCAGACCTGAGCCCCCTGGCTCTGGGGACCACCACATGATGGGGCTGGGGGCTATAGGGACAAGGGGCTCTGTGAATGGAGGCTGTAGGGACAAGAGATGATGGGGCTGGGGGGATGGAAGCTGTAGGGATGAGTACAACGGGGCTGGAGGTTTTAGGGAGATCTAAAAGGGATAGTGCCGATGTCGCTGTAGGGATGGGAACAGCGGGGCTGGGGACAGTGCAGGTGTCACTGTGGGGCTGGGCACAGAGCGGGTGTCGCCGTGGGGGTGGGGGCTGTAGGGGCGGGCACAGAGCGGGTGTCGCCGTGGGGGTGGGGGCTGTAGGGGCGGGCACAGAGTGGGTCCGGCGCGGCCCCGCCCGGACGGGCGCGGTGCCGCTTGGTCCGCCGGCCGGCAGGGGGCAGCAACGCGGCAGGGCGTGGCCATAGGTGGGCGGGGAGCTTTTTGTGGGCGTGGCCACGGCGGGGCGGGGCGATCGTGTCGGGGCGGAGCGCGCGGGCAGGCGCGGCTGCGCGCGCGGTGAGCGGGGAAGGGGCGCTGCCCCCTGGCGGGCGGGCGGGGGCGCGCGGGGACTCCGCGGGGCGCGGGGTCGGGGGGGGCACAGCGCGGGGACAACGCGGGGACAGCGCGGGGCCGGGGACGGTGCGGATACGGAGTGACCGTCGGCCGAGGCGGGCGGTGGCGGCGGGGCAGGGCGGGGGCACGGGCGTGGGAGGCGGAGGAACGGGTCTGTCCGCGGGGACGGGCTGTTGGTGCCAGAAGTGGGGTGTCGGTGACGGTCCTGGGGTGTCAGTGCTGGTGACAGGGTGTCGGTGCCGTTGTCGGTGCCAGTACCGGGCTATCGGTGGCTGTGAGTGCCGGTGAGGAGATGTCGGTGCTGGCTTATCAGTGACGGTGCTGGTGACAGTGTGTTGGTGCCGGTGACAGGGCGTCGGTGCCCGTGACGATGTGCCGGTGCCAGTGCCAGGGTATCAGTGCCCGTGACATGGTGTTGGTGACAGTGTCAGTGCTGGTGCTGGGATGCCAGTGCTGGTGACAGGGTGTTGGTGACAGTGTTGCGGCCGTTGAGGCAGTATCGGTGCCTGTGATGGGGTGATTGTGACGGTACCAGGATGTGGGTGCTGGTGATAGGGTGCAAGTGCCTGTGAGAGGGTGATGGTATTGGGGTGTCAGTGACAGTGTCGGTGCCGGTGCTGGTGGGGTGTGGCTGAGGTGGGGGGCTGGTGCCAGTGTCACCCCGACACTGTCCCCCAGCAGGACGGTGACAATGGCATCGGATGAGCGGCTGGCCCGCTTCCGCCAGGCCCACCTTAACCCCTTCAACAAGACCCCTGAGCAGCCAGAGTGCCCCGATGAAGAATCCCCTGTCCCAGGTGGGTGCTGACTCACTGGGGTGGGCAGCAGGGCCCAGCCCCACCATGGTATCCCCCTATTCCGGGGGTGTGCTCAGCCCCCCCATGGTACCCCACTTTGCAGCCCAGCAGCCGGATCCCACCCCAGGGGACCCTGAGGGCACCCTGGACCTGGGGCTGGCCGAGGACCACTTCTCCCGCCCTGTGGTGAGTGGGGTAGGCACTGTGGGGATGGGGAGGGTTTGGGGAGCTTGACTCACCCTCCTCCTCCTCTGGTGGTGGCTACAGGGGCTGATCCTGGCATCGGACGTGCCGCAGCTGCGCCAGGCCATTGAGGAGTGCAAGCGGGTGATCCTGGCACTGCCTGAGCACTCGGAGCGGCAGAAGGACGCTGTGGTCCGGCTCATCCACCTCCGCCTCAAGCTGCAGGAGCTGAAGGTGGGACTGGAACTAGGTCTGAGGGGCCTCCATTGCTGGAGGGGCCATGCTGGAAGTGCTCCAGGCCAGATCGAATGGGGCTTGGAGCAACCTGGTCTAGGGGAAGGTGTCCTTGCCAGTGGCAGGGGGGACTGACTGGGCTTTGAGATCCCTTCCAACCCAAACCATTCCGCAGTTTCGTGATTCTCTGCCTCCTCCTTTCCACCCTGCAGGACCCCGGCGAGGACGAGCCCAACATCCGGGTGGTCCTGGAACATCGCTTCTACAAGGAGAAGAGCAAGAGCGTCAAGCAGATGTGTGACAAGTGCAGCACCATCATCTGGGGGCTCATCCAGACCTGGTACACCTGCACAGGTGGGTTTGGGACACCCCCTCTGTGTCCCTGTCCCCCCTATCCCTACACTGACATCCTCCCATGCCCCCCAGGCTGCTACTACCGGTGCCACAGCAAGTGCCTTCCACTGGTGAGCCGGCCTTGCGTGCGGGCCCAGGTGAGCCACCGCGCCGAGTACCAGCTCAGCATCTGCCCCGAGAGCGGGCTGGACAGCCAGGACTACCGCTGTGCCGAGTGCCGTGCCCCCATCTCCCTCCGTGAGCTCCCACACCACCAGGGGGGCTGGGGCAGCTGGGGGGCTGGGGGCTGGATGGGACTGGGGGGAGCTGGGGGTTCTTGGGGCTGGGGGGAGCTGAGGAGATGGAGCAGGCTGGAGGCTCTGTGGGGCTGGGGAGTGTGTGAGATTGGAGAGAACTGGGGGGGCTGGACTGAGCTGGGGGCTCTGTGGGCCTGGGGGGAGCTGGAGGCTCTGTGGGGCTGGGGGCTGAGGGGTTGAGCTGAGGGGACTGGAGGGGTTGAGGGGAACTAGGGACTCAGGGGGTTGGCTAGGGGCTCTGTGGGGCTAGGGGGATGTGAAGGGGCAGGGGCTTCATGGAGCTGTGTGGGGCTGGAGGGAGCTGGGAATTGTGTGAGGCTGGGCTCCCTTGGGGGCTCTGTGGAGCTGTGGGGAAGGGGGGGGCCAGGGCTGCCTGGGGCTGAGGGGCTGTGAGGTGGGAGGTGTGTGGGGCTGGGGAGAGCTGAAAGTGGGGGCTCCGAGGGCTACGTGGGGCTGGGAGCCATAGGGAGCTGGAGAAGGTGACATTGTGGCCCCACCATGTCCCTGGGTGCTGGTGACTGTCCCAGGGGCACACATGGTGTGGGACAAACAGGAAGCAGGGCGGTGCTGGTGCCAGCCCTGTGCCAGCCCCGTGCCAGCCCCGTACCACCACAGGGGGGGTGCCCAGCGAGGCTCGACAGTGCGACTACACCGGCCTCTACTACTGCTCCAGCTGCCACTGGAACGACCTGGCTGTGGTGCCTGCCCGTGCCATCCACAACTGGGACTTCGAGCCCCGCAAGGTGCCCCTGGCAGAGGGTGGGGGCACCCCAGGGGGTCACGGGGCCATGGCTCTGGGTAGGGGTTACTTGGGGGGCCACGTCCCTGGTCGTGGGGGTCCCTGGGAGCTGCATCTATGGGTAGAAGTGACTTGGGGGCTGTGTGCCTTGTCATGGGGGTCCCTGGGGGCCATGTCCCTTGGTAGAGGTCACTTGGGGGGCCACGTTATGGGGACATGTCCTGACTATGGGGGTCCCTGGGTAGAGATCACTTGGGTTGGGCCATGTCCTCAGGGCTGTGTCCCTGCAATGGGTCCCTGCCAGGGGTCCCTGGAGTGGTGGTGGCAGGGCTGGTGGGTGCCAGGGGTGACGGTGCCCCGGTGGTGGTGGCAGGTGTCACGGTGCAGTATGAGGTACCTGGCACTGATGGTGTCACGGCCGGTGCTGAAGCTGCGGGAGATCAACCCACTGCTGTTCAACTACGTGGAGGAGCTGGTGGAGATCCGAGTGAGTGCTGGATCCAGGGGGCACCCCAAGGGGCAGGGGACACCCCACGGGGCTAGGGGTGAAACTGTGGAGGAAGTGTGGGGTGAGCAGGAGGTGGGGGGACCCTGGTGGCTCCTGCTGAGTCCCACAGAGGGAAAGAAAGGTAAGATGGGGGGTTTGGGGCAGAGGATGCCCAGACTGCTACAGGGATGAACTTGACCCAATCCGGTCTTGTCATGCTCCTATCTCCATCCCATCCCCATCCCATTCCCAACCCTGTCCCCATCCTCATCCTGCTCCTGCCACTGCCCTTTTCCCTGTCTTGGTCCTATTCCTGTCCCATCCCTGTCCTCATTCCTGTTCCCATCCCTGTCCCCATTCCAATCCCATCCCTGTCCTCATTCCTGTTCCCACTCTTGTCCCCATTCCTGTACCTATTCCCATCCCATCCCTGTCCCCATTCCCATCCCACTCCTGTCCCAATCCCCATTCCCATTCCCACACCATCCCCATCTCATCCTCACCCCATCCCCATCCTGCTTCTACTGCCACCCTTTTCCTGTCCTTGTCCCATCCCTGTCCACACCCATCCCCATTCCTGTCCCCATTTCCATCCCATTTCCATCCCACCCCATCCTGCCCCGTGCCCCGCAGAAGCTGCGCCAGGACATCCTGCTGATGAAGCCCTACTTCATCACCTGCAAGGAGGCGATGGAGGCACGGCTGCTGCTGCAGGTCAGGCCCAGGGGTGCTGGGGGGCCACAGGGGGCCAGGGCCAGGTGTGTCGGTGACAGTCACACAGCGGTGATGGTCACAGTGACCTGTCCCCTGCAGCTGCAGGACCGGCAGCACTTCGTGGAGAACGATGAGATGTACTCACTGCAGGACCTGATCGACATCGAGGCCGGGCGCCTGGGCTGCTCCCTCACTGAGATCCACACACTCTTTGCCAAGCACATCAAGCTGGACTGCGAGGTAAGCCCGTGCCGTGGGACAGAGCCAGGAGACCCCCCTGGGGCTGGTGGGTGACTGGTGGGGTCACCATTGTCTCCTGCTCCCCCAGCGCTGCCAGGCCAAGGGATTCGTGTGTGAGCTGTGCCGGGAGGGTGACGTGCTATTCCCCTTCGACAGCCACACCTCGGTCTGTGCCGACTGCTCTGCCGTGTTCCACAGGTACCAACACACCAGGGTAGGATGGGGGCACATGGGTGTGGCATGGGGGTGACACAGCACTGTCCCCTCCCCTCCAGGGACTGCTACTATGACAATTCCACCACCTGTCCCCGGTGTGCCCGGCTGAGCCTGCGGAAGCAATCCCTGTTCCAAGACTCCGGCACGGAGGGAGAGCCCTGAGGAGGGTTTCATCTCGTGGAGGGGCTCAGCCCCACAGCTCTTCTCCACCCACTACAGGCCCCTGGGACAGACACAAACAGCTCCATGCCGGTTTGGGTACTGGGGTGGCCCTGGCTCCGGGACCCTCTGCCTGTGGGAACGGCAGTGCTGCCAGGGGGCACAGCTGGACCCCAGCTGTTCCTGGGAAAATGGGGACCCCTGCCGGAGGAGCCAGGATCTGGTTAACTGGGATCCAGTTAAGGCGCCACAGCGGCTCCTGCCGTCCCTGTGTGGAACCGGGGTGCGGGCAGGGATGGGGTGCAGGCAGGGACCGGTGCTCCGTTGTCGCGGGGCAGTGGGTGCTGCCAGGAGGGCTAGCCCCGGGACCGGACAGAGCCCACACCCACACACTACTGGGATCCGATCTCCCCCCAGCACCGCCGTTAACGGGGCCGAACCCCAAGGAAGTTGCGGGGTAGGGGGGACCGGGCGCCGCGCGGGGCCAGTGTCTCCCCCTTCCCTCCCGGTGTTTCCTGTAGCATTAACGAGCCTCTTTGCGCAACTCAGCATTCGTGTTTCTGCTTCGGGCCGGCGGCGGGGGGCAGCGGAGGAGCTGGGGCTCCCGCGGAGCGGACCGAACACCGGGACCGACCCCGCACCGGGCCGGTCCCCGGTCCAGCGCCGCCCGGTGGGGTGGAGTTGCGTTGTGTGGCGTTATTGGGGATGTGCCGCGGTCATCGCCAGTCTCTCGCTCACCGGGAGGGGCTGCGGCCGCGCTGTCTCGGCACCAGCCGACAACCCCCCCCGCGATGCTCCCGAGGTGTCCCGTGACCCCAACCCTTCCCGTTTTCCCCCCCGGCCACGGCGCAGACGGGCAGAGGCCGGCGGCGTGTCGGTCGGTCGGTTTTACCGGATCACAGCGCTGCTACATCAGAACCGGGCGGGCACCGGCACCGGCCGCGCTCCGTCGGGCCGGGCTGGGCCGTTCGACCCGTCCCGTCCTGCCCCACCCGCCGCTCCCGGCAACCGGAGCCATGCCGCCCCCGGGGCCCGGCGGGGCCGAATGGGTTCCCCCCCGGGGCCCGGCGGGGCCGAATGGGTTCCCCCCCGAGGCCGCGGGTGACCGGCTGTGGGCGGTCCCAGTGCCTCCCCCCGCGGGGCTGTGGCCGCCTCTGCCCTCCGGGCGGGCTAACGGGAGTCCTGCGCCCGGGGACGGGCTCCATCGGTACCGACGGGAGCAGCACCGGCGTGTCCCGGTGTCCTCCAGCAGGTCCTGTCCCTACGGTTCCCGCGGGCGCTCGGCGGGCAGGAAGGCGTCCGGGGGTCCCGGGGGTCCCGACGGCAGCTCGGGCTCACTCAGGTGCTTCTTGTCGCGGCCCTGCTCCCGCGCGCGGGTCCAGGAGGGCGAGCGCAGGTACCCGGCCCGCGGCACCGGCGGCGGCTGCAGCCCTGCGGGACGGACGGGGTGGGCGGGCGGTCAGGGACGGGCCGGCACCGGCGGACAGAGCGGGACCGGCGGCCCCGGGCCCCCCGCTCACCGCCAGGAGTCTCTCCGGCCGCGTTCTCCTCGTCGGAGTCGGCGAAGACCTCGGCTAGCTCCTGGTCCGACATGTCCGTCAGCTCCGTCAGGTCCAGCAGGTCGAAGTGCACCTCCAGCGAGGACACGCTGCTCAGGGGCTCTGCGGGCACCGTGTGTGTGTGGGGGGGCTGGAGACCCACCACTATCGCCCACGGGGTGGGTGAGGGATGAAGGGGTCGGGGGTCTGGTGCTTGGGGGCCCAGGGAGCTGGGGGTTGAGAAGCTTCGTGGGAGCCACAACTGGCTGGGTGCTGGCAGGGGACCCCAGGGACAGGAAGGGACCCCAGGGGCTGGCAGAGACCACAGGGACAGGCAGGGACCTCAGGGGCTGGTAGGGGACCTGAGGGGCAGGCAGGGGAGCCCAGGGGCTGGCAAAGGATGCCAGAGACAGGCAGGAGACCCCGGGAGGAGGCAGAGAGTGCTGTGGACAGGCAGGGAACCAGGGGCAGGCAGAGACCCCAGGGACAGGCAGGGACCCCAGGGGCTGGCAGGGGGTGTCAGGGACAGCATTGTCTCTGGGGATAAGCAGGGACCCCACACAGGGCCACACTCACGTCGACGCTCAGTGACCTGCAGCAGGCCAGCGCTGGGGATAGGGATGCCACCCTGCTCTTCTGGGGGGACTCGAGGGGTCTCCTGGGCTGGCCCGTGGGTGGGGGTCCCCGCTGGGCGCTCCAGGGCCAGCGGCTCCTTGCCGAGCTCTGCCACACCAGCACCTGCCACGTTGGTGACCGCAGCTCCCTCGGGGGCCCCCGTGGGGTGCCCAGCTGAGGGGCCAGGGGGAGTGGGACCCCCGGGAGGGCCGGGGGAACAGGCAGAGCTGCCCAGGATTCTCATGCCGGCAGCTGGTAGCCCCCACTCCCCGCCCCACGCCCCTTCCCCGCGCAGCCCCTTTGTGTCGGCGAGACAAAGCACAGCCTGTGCTGGGGCCCGGACAAGGGCGGATTGTGCTAGGATTGTCACTGTGAAGAGCCAGTGGGGACAAGGCGGCCGTGGCCGTGGCACATGGTCATGGTACAGGGTCATGGCACACAGTGGTAGCACAGTTCGTGGTTGTGGCACAAGGTGGTGGCACAGTAGTGCTTTGGGGCTCAGTGGGCATTGAAGTCAGGAGGAGCCTGTGTGCCCAGGGTAGCACCAGGGGACACACCACCCTGTCCCCTGTTTCCCCCCGAGGTCAGTGCTGGCTCCCTGGCACCATGTGCCACCACTGGGCCATGCTACCACCGGCCATGGTGCAGGGTGACACGGCACAGGGATGGGCATTGTCTCCCTCTCCCCAGGATTCTGACAGCGAGGCAGGGACAGAGTCCCCCAGCCCGACAGGAAAAGGGACGTTATGGGGTGTTGGGTTCCTGCTCCTGGCACATGGAGCTGCGGGAGACCGGCAGAACAACAGACCCCTGCTTCAACACCAGCTCTGCCACATCCTGACCCACAGGGTGGGACTGCGGACCTCGTGCTGCTGGCACCTTCTCTCCAGCTGGGAAACTGGGTCTCCACCCCACCCCAGGGCTCGGAAGACCGCTCCCGGGGGGGACACGGGGGCTGCCCGCTCCTACCACCCTAGCCCACGTGGTGCCCAGCCCCGGTGTCACGGTAAGGAGCACAGCTCCCCCGATCCCCACTACGCCTCCACCCACCAGTGCGCTGGTCCCGGCCGCGGAATTCCCCTCTGGCCTCTGCCTGCATGGTCCCGCTGCGCCACCGGCAGTGCCACCGGCCACACCACCCCCTCCGGCCTGGGCTCACCGGCTGCCTGGTGGGAGCAAGGATGGATCAGGGATCTCTCCCGCACGCCGTGTGCTGACTCACGGCAACTGCAGAGCCGGGCAGCCACCGGTACTAGCACCCCATGGCACCGGGCACCTCACAGAACCTGCGGCCTATCCCGGTGGCACTGTCCCCCCAAGGCCTGGTGCCCCCAGTGCTCCCGGCGCCATGGCCGGGGCTGCCCCATGCCGGCAGCCACGGCACAGCCATGTGCGGGGCACAGGCACAGGCGGGAGGGATGGGCGTGCAGGGGAGCCCTGGCACCGCCTCTATCACCAGGTGCAGGCCCCCCCCGAACACCGGGGGCCCCCCCAGCTCCACTGGCATGGCTACCTTCCTGTCCCTGAGCATCTCTGCACACAGGCACTAGTGCAGCTGTGTGGGGTGTCTGCCGGGCACCCCACTGCTGCCCATGTCCCCTGGGTACCCCACCGCTACCCCATGTCCTGTGAGCACCCTACTGCACCCTCAAGTCCTGTGAGCATCCCACTGCACCCCCACACCCTCCAGGCTCCCCACTGCTCTTCTACACCCCTGGCATCCCACTGTCCCCCCACATTACCTGGGCACCCCATTGCAACCCCAGGTCCCCAGTGCAACCGATTACTCCGTCTGACCTTCTGGACACTCTACCACACCTCCTGGGTACCCCACTGCACCCACGGGCACCCTACTGCACCCCCATATCCTGTGAGCATCCTAGTGCCCCTCATGTCCCCAGGGCAGTCCAGTGCTCCCTCAGACCCCCTGGACAGCACCTTGTATTCTGAGTATTCTTCTGTTCCTCCCCCATCCCAGACTCTCAATGCACAGATCCCCGTGTCCCGTCCAGGCCCCCCCACCCCACAGCTCCCCACCCCTGCAGCCGGGGACCCTCAGCACGGCCCCATGCTCCCCTATTCCCCCTCAATGCCTCCCCCCGGCGCCCCCTCCCCTTGCACTCTCTCTCTTGCACTCTCGCCCTACATCTCCTTGTGCTCCCCCCGCACGCCCCGCGGGGCCCGGCCCGGTTCCACGGTGATGGGCGCTCCGATCCGTGCCGCCTCCCCGGGCCCCCGCCCTCACCTGCGGTGGCGGCCGCTGCCGGAGCCGCCATGGGCCGGGTCCGGAGCCGGAGCCGGTGCTGGTGCCGGTGCTGGGCGGGGCGGGCCCGGTGCCAGCCCGCAGCCCGCACGGTCCTGTCCGCCGCGGCGGGGGCGGGGACACCGGGGCGGGGACACCGGGATGGGCGGGGACACCGGGATGAGCGGGAGGCAGGAGGGTGACAGGGGAGGGCGCAGGGGGTACCGGGGAGACCGGGGGGGCACAGGGGACCAGGTGTGCCGCGGGAATCCCGAGGGTGCGGGAGCGGAGCCGGGAAACTCCAGCCGCAGGGGCAGCCCGGGGCGCGGAGGTGGGCGCAGGGGTGGACGGGGCTGTGCTGGGCACAGCGGGACCCCCTCGATCCGCCTGGTCCCCCTGATCCCCCCGAACTCCCCCGATTCCCCCCGGTGTCCCCTCGATCCCGCCCCGGATCCCCCGCCGGCCCCGCCCCCGTTGCCAGGGCGGAGCGTGGCGTTGCTAGGGGGCGTGTCATTCCGCAGCGCAACTCTCGCGAGATTTCACTTTCCTCTCGCGACATCTGCCTGACCGTTGCCGGGAGACCGCGGCGCCAGCGGCCGCCGCCATGGTGAGAGCGGGCCCGGGCCCAGGCCCGGGGGAAAGAACCAGGGTGGCTGCTGAAGGGTCCCCTGGAGCCGGGGGTGCGGACAGGGGGGAGCAGTGGGGCCCGGCCTTCCCCGGTCGGGCTTGGCCCGAGCCCCGAGGGCTGGGGGCCCCGGCCCGCTCCGCTCCCGGGGAGGGTACAGAGCCCCTCGGCGCCGTTCCCAGCGCTGCGGTGACGCTTCCGAGCTATTACTTTGGGTACAGGTGTTTTGTGGACCTGAGCCGGCAGCGGTATCACATGAACCACGGAGGTCCTGGGTGGTCCCGGAGGCTTCCAACCTCCTCGCGGGGCCTCCGGCTCCGTGTCACTGCTCTGGCCCCGTTCCTGCCGTGAGAGCAGAGATGCTCCGGGGCTGGCACGGTGGACCTGAGCAGCACGGCTTCCCTCTCACCCAGTCATCTCCTGCGTTTGGCTTCCTGTCCTCAGGCACCCAAAAAGAAAGGATCGACTAAAGGGAAAGGTCCAGCAGTGGTGGATGCCTTGGACCTGGAGGACATGAGCAAGGAGCAGGTGAGAGATTCCCCAGGCCACCAAGAACAGCTATTGGAACCCCTCTGTGGCGCCTGGCCTGACTCTGGGGACAACAGGTGGCAGAGGGTGACAGCCAGGGTTTGTGTCACTGCCTGATGCCTGTCTGGGCTGGGGAGGGGCGTTCTTGCTGTTCCTGGAAAGAGCAGCCACCTCATCCTACCCTCTGCTCTCCAGCCCTGTGTGCTGAGCACTGCTGAGGCACATCCAGTCCTGGGGTCAGTTCTGGGCTGCTCACGGCAGAACTAGGGGCTGGAGCGTGTCCAGGAAAGGGAACGGAGCTGGGAAAGGGTCTGGAACACCAGGAGCAGCTGAGGGGGGCTCAGCCTGGAGAAAAGGAGGCTCAGGGGGGACCTTCTCGCTGTCTGCAACTCCCTGACAGAAGAGTGGAGCCAAGTGGGAGTCACGCTCTGCTCCTGGGGAACAAGGGACAGGACCAAAGGAAACAGACTCAAGTTGCACCAGGGGAGGTTTAGGTTGAATATTGGGAAAAATTCTTCATGGAAAGGGCTGTCCAGACCTGGCACAGCTGCCCAGTGCTGTGGTGGAGTCCCCATTCCTGGGAGGATTTAAGAGTCATGTAGATGTGGCTCTTGGGTACATGGTTTAGTGGTGGCCTTGGCAGTGCTGGGGGAATGGTTGGACTTAATCTTAGAGGCTTTTCCAATTCAAACAATTCTATGATCCTCGAGTATTTAGACACCTGAGAATGGTGTTACTGGATACTGCGAGCCAGAACCCTATCGCAGGGTGCTGGAAGTGGGATGAGGTTTTGTGACTGCTTTTCCAGAGGCTCTTGGGTTCAGTCAGGGACCTCCCCTGCTCCATCCCAATGACAACCACCATGTCCTGCCAGGTTTGGGACATGGAGTCTCCAGAGGCCTCCCCTCTGCCTTACCTGTTTCTTCCTCTTGGCTGTGCAGCTGCTGCAGCACGTCCAGCGTCTCCGGGAAGAGCTGGACCGGGAGCGACAGGAGCGGAATTCTTTCCAGCTGGAGTGTAACAGGATTCAGAGCTGCTGGGACATCACCCGCCGGGAGCTGGAGGAGAAGAAAGCGGAGCTGCGGAGCCGGGACCGGGAGATGGAGGAGGCAGAGGAGCGGCACCAAGTGGAGATCAAGGTGGGAGAGAAGGGCTCCATGTGAGCCTTGAGCAGCTCTGAGGAGGAGAAGAAGGGGAAGAGGAGGAGGAGCTGGGAATGTCTTGCCAGCATCCCAGCTCCAGGTGTCTCCTGCTGAACCCTTCACCCAGTCTCTGGCCTGTCCTTAGGTGTACAAGCAGAAGGTGAAGCACCTGTTGCATGAGCAGCAGGAGACCCTGACAGAGCTGAAGGCAGAGGGAATCCTGTCCCTGAAGCGGGCCCAGAAGGATCACTGGGACCAGGAGCAGGAGCTGTGGAAAGAAAAGCGCTCCTTGAACATCAAATTGAAGGAGCAGGAGTTGGCCAATGAGGCAGCGGTGACAAACCTCTGCCTGGTACGTCCCTGACCAGGCTGGAGCCACCTGTGAGGCACCTCAGCCCCAGGGTGGGAGCAGGGGCAGGATCTTGCCTCCCTGGCTCACTCTGTGGGGTGGGGTTTCTGGTCCAGGAATGGGGAGAAGGGATTTCTGGATGACCCGTCTCCTGCAGCGGGGAGCTGTGAGAACAGCTGGAGAACCTCCAAGCCACTGTTTACACCAACACTGGGATCAGAATTCTTTCCCAGGGAGCAGGAGGGAATCCCTGGGGATGGGCTGACTCAGGATTTGGTTCTCTCCTCTAAGATGGAGCTTCTCCCTTGCAGAAACACGAGGAGGAGATGGCCCGGCTGCGTAGCGACTTCGAGGCACAGGCCAAAGGTCAGAGAAGAGGCAGAACCTGGGGGAGCAGGATGGGGAGAGTTGCTCTGGGCTCCTGAGCAGCACCTCGAGCGCATGTGGACTGGGGGTTCCCTCCAATTCTGGCAATTTTTTCTGTGCTAGTTCTGACTGTTTTTTCCCCTCAGTTCTGGCCAGTTTTTCCTGCAAGTTCCAGCTGTTTTTCCTAGCCAGTTCTGTCCAGTTTCCTCCCCAAATCTGTCCAGTTTGCCCTCCAGTTCTGGCTGGTTTTTCTCCCCTCCCCATTTTGGTCACTTTTCTTCCCCAGTTCCAGCCAGTTTTCCCCCAGCTCTGGCCATTTCCCCTCCCTGGTTCCCTGTGCTGTGGCAGTGCCAGCCCTTCTCCTGTGGGGTGGGATGGCTGGAGGAGCCTTTGCTGTGTCCTCACTCCAGTGTCCCCCTCAGGGAACATTTCAGGTTGTGATAGGCCCTCTTGGGGCTTTTCCATGCCCTCTTTCCAAGGATCTCATTCCTGGGCTCAGCCCTCCCCGGACTCCACAAGGGTCTCGATGCCGATGTGATGGCACAGGAGCTGGGGCATGGGGTCTGCAGGAGGCCCCCCCCACACCCAGCCCCCTTGTGCCCCCCAGAGATGGATGCCAAGTACAACAGGAAGATGCAGGCACTGCGGGAGGAGATGGACCTGCGGAGGAAGACAGAGATCCATGAGCTGGAGGAGAGGAAGAACAACCAGATCAGCGAGTTGATGGGGAAACACGAGGGGGCTTTCGGTGACATCAAGAACTACTACAACGATATCACTGCCAAAAACATGTCACTCATCAGCCTCCTGAAGGTACTGCCTATCCTTGTGCCACCCCTCCACCCAGGGACCACTCCTGCCAGGGTGTCATTTGGCAGTTCCCAGGTGTTGATGTGGTTGCTGCTGGTGGGCTGAACACTGTCACATGAGCAGGGAGGGTGTCCTGAGGGTGGGTGGGGGTCTCTGAGGGGCCGGGCAGCTCTCAAAAGCCAGCACTCGTGTTCCTAAGAACAGGAGCAGGTGGAGGAGATGAGAAAGAAGGAGATTGTCTTGGAAAAGGAGAAGACAGATGTGCTGCTGCAGAACAAGGAGCTGACGGAGCCACTGCAACAGGCCCAGGAGCAGGTGGCTGAGCTGCAGAAGAAGTTGGCTCGCTATGATAAGGACAAGGAGATCCTGATGGTGCGTGGCCAGCCCAATCCTTTCCTGGGCTCGTTCCTGGAGGGAAAGCAGTGGCCTCTGCCACACAGTGTGCTGGGATTGCTGGGCAAAGTGAATCCCATTCCGTTTAGCTGCGTGTTTGTGGGATCTCAGATGGGGATCCAGAGAGAGATCAGAGTAGCCCTCACTGCAGAGAGGTTGGTGTGGGGTTGGCCTGGTTTTCTCTGCTGCTCACTCTCCTCCCTTCCTAGAACACATCCCCAACAGTTCCCAGACAATCACGTGCTTCTTAATGCTCCCTTCCTGCTCACAGAACTCCAAAGCCCGTCTGAAAGTCACCCAGAAGGAACTGAAGGACCTTCAGTGGGAACACGAGGTGCTGGAGCAGCGGTTCAGTAAGGTGAGAGCTGCAGGCAGGGCTGGACATCCCGTTCCCTCTCCAAACCCTCTCCAAACCCTCTACAGAGGACAGGGCGTGGGGGCTTAGCGGAGCCTGTGCTTAGCCGAGGGCTTTCCAAAGCTAATCCCGAGCCGGGCGATAACCGCTGCTCCCAACAAAGCTGCTCCCAGCTCCAGCCTCTCCCACGGTCAGCAGACAGGCCTGGCCTTGTACTTTGCTAAGCAATTGTGCACGCTCCAGTGGGCCCCCCGGGCTACGGGGGGCTGCGTGGGGCAGAGCTGGGAGGGATTGCCACGGGCCTCTCTTGCCGGAGTTCCAGGGTTGCTCCCCTGCTGGTCTGGGCGTGGTGGCTTGGGATGAGCCCTGCAGAGCGAGTTCTCCCCCCCACTAACCCAGATAAATCTGTTGAGGTGGGAGAGAGCTCATTTGCAATTCGTAGAAATCCCCAGGAATATGAACATTGATCCGAGGCCTCGTTAACAATCCATCATTAAGACAGCACCAGATTCAGAGCGTTCAGAAATAGACTTTGGAGGAGAGGCTGTGTCCCAATTAGGACACTTATTAACTAGCTGTGAGCCAGGGATTGCTGCCAGCTGTGGGGAGGAAAGGAGAGACCCCCCCTTTGCTGGGGGGCCCTGGCTGGAGTCTGAATTAGTGCCACAGGGAGCCTGTTGTGGTGTCTCTTGCCTTGAGGGGAGGAGGAGGAGGAAGGAGAAGCACAGGTGCTGCACCATGGAGGGAGGAAGCTGTGCTGCAGCACCTGCCTTCCCTGTGGGCTGCAGGTGCTGTGGGGAATGGCTGGGCTGAGCTGCCAGACCAGTTGCTGCCTCGTTTGTGCTCCACACCATTAAGCAGACCCCAGTCAGGCTCCTGCAGGCCCCTCTGTGCCCCCTGAGTTCCTGAGGGTGGTGTGACACC